TTTTTCATTATAACTATGTTAGCTCGACACATAGCCAAATATTGATCTTGCGTTCCTTTCCAGTGCGTCTTCTTGGTGGTTTCGGCTAATGCTGCTTATCGAATAGAAGAGCGCACTCATGTCATTATTTCATATCGTTTCGCAATCTTTGCCTTTCTCGGGAATTCTCAAAAATTTTGCCTGTTTAGGTATGTCACCTCCGAAGACGCCTGATGTGCCGCAAGAAGATTACTACGAGCTACTTGGCGTTGAAAAGAAATCAAGTGAATCGGAAATCAAAGCCGCTTATCGAAAATTAGCGTTGAAATATCACCCCGACAGAAATCCTGGAGACACGCATGGTTAGTCATCTTGTCACAAATTTTTTTTACCCGTTTACATTTACCTATTTGTCCAGAAATACTTTGTTTACAGTTCCAGTTTTTTGTTTGTTTGACGATACTTTTATCATTTGGGAGATTATCCGTTATCAAAACGTTGCTTATGTTATGTAAACATATCGCCGAACTGCTCGCATTTTGCAGAAATATCATGTCTGTTTGTGGTGTCTCGTTGATGCGAAGGCTGGAGCAGTGTTCTGGTTTTGCAAAACTTGTTTTGCATTCGCGCCTCTGTAACGGCAATGGCTTTTTTTTTTCTACATAATGTCTAGTGTCCGCGATTTAGTGCCTTTTTTCATGTGATTGCATGAATCACGTAACCAGTCATAAAAGGGCATTAACGATATGACAGTGGTTTCGAAATAGGCTGAGCAAACGTTATGTACATATGGAAAATGCAGAAGAGATGCGGGGGAAATATTGGGATTTCTTCGCGAAATTGGAATGAAAAATTTATTATGCGAGCTTCGCGTCTTTTACATGCAGCGTTTGGTCGCCCAGATTGGGGTTATGGAATTGAATTTATATCTAAATGGGCATCTCAACTGGTCCTCCATGGGTATAAGCTTGAAATCGCATCAACTCTAATTTCTTCCACATACTGGCTCGAAGCTCATGCTAAGAAAAGAATTGCTAAAAAAAACAATGTCATGAACAACAATACATATCCGGATTTGGTCCATACTTCTCTATAACTCCCATTTTGAGGACTTCTGTGGCCGTATTTATGAACGTTACCCAGTGGGTAAAGTTACC